ACATGTAAGACAACGCTACCATACACACATGTAAGACAACGCTACCATACATACATGTAAGACAACGCTGCCATACATACATGTAAGACAACGCTACCATACATACACGTAAGTCAACGCTACCATACATACATGTAAGACAACGCTATCATACATACATGTAGGACAATGCTACCATACATACATGTAAGACAACGCTACCATACATACACGTAAGACAACGCTACCATACACACATGTAAGACAACGCTACCATACATACATGTAAGACAACGCTATCATACATACATGTAGGACAACGCTACCATACAAACATGTAAAACAACGTTACCATACAAACATGTAAGACAACGCTATCATACATACATGTAGGACAACGCTACCATACGCTACCATAGATACACGTAAGTCAACGCTACCATACATACATGTAGGACACCGCTACCATACAAACATGTAAAACAACGTTACCATACATATACGTAAGACAACGCTACCATAGATACACGTAAGTCAACGCTACCATACAAACATGTAAAACAACGTTACCAGACATACACGTAAGTCAACGCTACCATACATACATGTAAAACAACGCTACAATACAAACATGTAAAACAACGCTACCACACACACATGTAAGACAACGCTACCATACATACATGTAAGACAACGCTACCATACATACATGTAAGACAACGTTACCATACATACATGTACGACAACGCTACCATACATACACGTAAGTCAACGCTACCATACATACATGTAAGACAACGCTACCATAGATACATGTAAGACAACGCTACCATACATACATGTAAGACAACGCTACCATACATACATGTAAGACAACGCTACCATAGATACACGTAAGTCAACGCTACCATACATACATGTAAAACAACGCTACCATACATACATCTAGGACAACGCTACCATACATACATGTAAGACATCGCTACCATACATACACGTAAGACAACGCTACCATAGATACACGTAAGTCAACGCTACCATACATACATGTAAGACAACGCTGCCATACATACATGTAAGACAATGCTACCATACATACACGTAACTCAACGCTTCCATACA